CAACCCTTCAATCCTTAAGCGGTAAGAATAGCCTTCATCTTTGTCCCTTCACAGAATTTTTTTGGTACGAATCTCAACTGGCATCAATGGTGTAAACGACATTTGCAATCCTAGTGTACGAACATGAATGTAACATACGAAATATGTTTGTATAAGTATTAATAAGCATACATTGTCCTTGCTTAATGCTACTTAAAGGTCACTGTTCTCTACTTGTCCAACATTGTGTTGCTGGATTTATACTTTTAATTGAATAATTAACTCAATTGTCTGTTTGAGTAGATAAATGGAGTGTTGACGATCATTTCTCTTTAACCCCATTTGGTGCTTGGTAATTGGTATGCTATCTCTGCATAGTTCTCCATAAGTAAATGTTCTGCACTGACCATTAACTTGTTGAAAATAGAAGTTTGAATCTTTTCATTCCCCCCCCCCCCAAGTTTCTAATTCGATGTTAAACAATGAGTTTGCAGCTTCAAGGAGCTCCAGGATGGTCAGTGAACTAGAAAGGACAAGGCTTCAGGATGGATAGTCTCATATCCATGGGAAAGGAGGATGCAGGAGATGCTATCAGTTCCCAACTCAAGCAGCTTTCTTTCCATTCTCCTCCTTCCTAAGGCTTCAGATCGAATGGCCTCTCGATACAATGACTTAGAGGATACCCTTGCTCGAGCAAATTCTTGGCTTACTGCATCTCAGGCCTCTGGGGTTCCCATTGTTTTCATGAATATCCAGACTGAATCCTTGCTCACTAAGGTACAATGCCAAAGCCTTAATCCTTTAGAAGCAGTAGTGACTTGAATCTTCAATCAAAGTACTGATGTTAGCTATCGACGATTTAAATTTTAAACACTTGGACAGGCTAAATTTTAAGGCAATTTTCTTATATGAACCCTTAAGACACCAGCTTCTCAGGTTGACCAGTTAGGCAAGCTGGTTCATGTTCATCTGATCACTCGAACTGATTTTTCTACAATTTTTGAGCAGATCTCTGGGGAAACAGCCTCAGCTACTGTGAATGCTGGGTCATTATCTGATTTATCGAACCTTGCCAATGCAAGTCTATATGGTTTTGAGGACTATCATGGGGTTGACATTGGAGTCGTGAGAGCAGTCCGTCTATGGTATGCCCCTCTTGTGGAAGAAATTGCAATCGAGATCAAACTAAAAGAAGATGACATAAAGCTCGGGTTCGCCATTAGCCGCACAGAAGAGGTATGTCATCTGATTCTCCATGATGATCTCTGGGTCGGCATTTGTTTATATATTTATCTTCTCTCTAATAACAGGGATTCATCTACATATCATCTGTCATTGATGGTGATGAAAACGTGCCCTCGACGAGATCTGGACTCAGCACTCTCTACAAAGAAGCACTGAACGCATCCAGGCTGCTGGTGTCTCAAGATTATCAAACCAGAAGGTTCTTCCATGGATGGTTTCCTCAACCGGAGCTGTTCGATGCTTTGATACTGTCTCCCTAAGTCAAAAGCTCTCACTAACCGGCATGCTAATGTGCCGATTCAAATGCACGTTTCTTGTGGTATCAATCGTTGGTTTCCGAGGTTTTAGCACTGCCAGGCTGTGGGTTCCCTCTTCATCAACTTTACCATTGTCCCAGAAATTAGATTAACCCACCAACCTAACGACAACCAAGTCTTGCCCCTGCCACCAGATGAACCAAATGAAAGCATACCCTCGAGCGAGCAGCCGGGCCGCCGTTTGCAGCGAGACACTGCCGGCGAAGTCTCCTTCAGATTTCATGATTTTTCACTTCCTAACAACTGGGTATGATTTTGCATTTCCTGCTTCTGTGTATATAACAACTTTTACAGGTAGAAGAGTTCATTGATCGGATTAGTTACATAATGATAGGCAGCTTGATTGAATGAAAATCCAGAATAACACAGAGATATATATAGTTCAGAATTCAGGCACCGTTGTTAGAAAACAGATTGATGGTTATACATAATATATATATATATATGTCTGTTTGGTTGTGTATCATACAGGAGCTTCGGCATTGAGTGGCCATTTTGTATGTTTTGCTATTTTGAACTACTACATTCTGCATGTTTGTTTTCATTCCTTATTGTAATATTAACAAATTTCTGTTTATGTGAAATAAAATATTATGACAAAAGAGGAAAACAAATAAATCAGATTTTAGTGTTACCATCGTTTATCATATAATTTTCCAAATTACTTTAAAATTTTAAAACATCTCCCAAGGAAAATTCAACCGAATTTCCCTTTAATTGTTCCAAAATTTAAAATGTAAAATTTATGGAATGAACTAATATATACGAAAATATCATAAAAAATAAATAAAAACATGATGTCTATGAGCATAATTTAAATATATAATTGTATTAAAATTTATAAACTAATTACTATCATGTAAAATATTAAGTAAATTAAGAATATTCTAAACACGTGAGAAAAATATTACGAACATAATATAAATTATATATTTTTCTTTAAATCAATCAAAATAATGTATAGTACAAAATACGAGATGACTTAGTGTGGGGACTCTCGGTCACCATAATCTATGGGACTTCGGCAAACACATATTGTTGGTGATTCGCATTGCACACGGATTGCTGACTTGGGAAACGATTCAAAACCGTCGATCTATAGTTGGAATAATATAATCGCATCGTACGTATCTAGTCATTCGAAAATTTCAAAGTTCCCGCGTGCTCGCTCCCCCCCCCCCTTCTATCAATTTTCTCGGTATAAATAACTCGCAGGTTGCATATCCATTCTCACCCTTCGCTCTCAATCGAATCAACAGTTTACACTACCTTTCTCTCCAAACAAATCCTTCATTTTCTGCTTCTTCGAAGCCTGAGTAATCAATGGCGCGTACCAAGCAAACAGCCAGGAAGTCGACGGAGGCAAGGCGCCACGTAAGCAGCTGGCGACGAAAGCCGCAAGGAAGTCGGCTCCGGCCACCGGAGGAGTGAAGAAGCCTCACCGATTCAGGCCTGGAACGGTGGCTTTGAGAGAGATCAGGAAGTACCAGAAGAGCACGGAGCTGTTGATTCGGAAGCTTCCGTTCCAGAGGCTGGTGAGGGAGATCGCTCAGGATTTCAAGACGGATCTGAGGTTCCAAAGCAGCGCAGTCGCCGCTCTCCAAGAAGCCGCTGAAGCTTATCTTGTTGGGCTCTTTGAAGATACCAATCTATGCGCCATTCACACGCGAAAAGGGTTACTATTATGCCTAAGGATATTCAGCTTGCTAGGAGGATCAGGGAGAGAGAGCTTAATCTTGTATTTACTCTCTGTTTATATCTGTTCCGGTTTTAGTGTTTCTCTAAAAAAGGAATGAATGATGAAATTAATTTGGGAAATCATCAGACTGATTGCATAGTTTGTCATGGTTATGATTCTATTGCTGAATTTGAGATTTGGCTTTCTCATTTATTCTTTCAATTTTGCGTATTAAAACAGTTCTGGATTCATTTCAAAGCTACCGGGTATCAAGTTCATCGTCTAACAACATTTTAGTCTTGAAATATTAGTTAATCCAACAGGGCCTGCCACAAATATTTTTACATGGGAAATAATTTTTGAAAAATTTCAATGTAAACAACTTGTTTTTATGAATGGAGAGTGGTTTGTGGAAAATGTTTAAGGATATAGTTTAATTTAAGATTAAGAAAAAACACCTCTGATAATGTTTAAAAAAAGTTTAATATTTTTGGTTGTGCGTAACTTAAAATGTTAAATATTTTTTGTTTGTATATATTCTTTACAATATTTTCGGTTTAATAAAAATATTAGAAAAATAATATTTTAGGTTGTGTTCAATTAAAAATATTAAGATTCTTTTTAATATTTTTAGTTGCATTTTTTAACCTTAAATTATGTCGGTCGTACAAGAGAACTATCCTTTGTATTTTAGTATAAAGCTAATTGATAATATTACTTTTAATAAATCATTTTTAAAATACAATAGTATTTTAAAGATGTGAGATTAAATTATTTATCTATAGTTTTTATTTAATTTAAAGTATAGTTTTAAGTTCAATATAATTAGTGGATCATAGTTAAATTTATTAAAATAGATTAAACTTATATTATCTAAAAAAAATTAATATAATAATAAATTCAATATGCACTGAATTAGATGATAATTAATTTTATTGAATGTGATTTTAAGTTTATTATAAAGTTTTAAAAAGAAAAAAATGTCTTTCCATTTTCATAAATACCTAACAAAAATTTAGTTTTGTTAAGTATATGTATTGAGTTTTGGAATACATATCCTCACGTATTCTGTAAGGCTATATTGCATAATAATAATATTTTAGATGTGTATATATAAAATATAAGGTATAAAAAGTTAATTAATTATTGGTAAATATATGAATTTATATGTTATACAAAATTTAAATCTCAAATATTTTATCTATTAATTCAAATAAAATATTATAAAAAATTATTATGATAAAAATTATTTTTAATTTAATTTACTCCATATTTAATATTAATAATCTAGCACTTTATCTTGCTATACTGACTAATTAGTAATAATCTTAAATAGATTTTTAATTATACAAACTAATCTATATACCAATGAGATATAAATTAATTTATTATATTAAACGATAATACGTCATACTATAATGTTATTATTTGTTTCAAAAAATAATATTATTATTTGAATTAAAATAATAATTAAAATGAAAATCGATTGTGTGAGACAACCAAAAAATCTATTTCTAAGTGAAGGAAAAAAAAGCTTTATTTTACTTTTAGACGGTAAACCACAATGGCGGGAAACACGAAAATGCAACACAGCCCAAAAAGAGGGGGAAAAAACATTAAATTCTAAAGGGCGAACTAACTCCATGATTGTTCACAATCAATTTTTTATCTCTTGCTGCTGGTAAATAATGGACAAATATTTGACTCCTTCCAAACCCTATACTGAAAATCCAAGCCAAGGTAATGATCACTTCCTTATTTTTGTGTCGATCTCATTTTCTATTGCTCTGAATTTTTAATACTGGGTGAATTTCAAAATGTTCGTTCAAATCCAAAGGGCGCGTTCATGGCGAAGAAGCGAGGTCGAACTGAATGGAAAATTTGACCCCAAATACCGCCACAGCCTCTCTTCTCTTCTCATGCACTCTTATTCCGAGGTCTTTCAAATCCTCTTCTTCTAAATTGTTTAAGCTTTTTTTTATGGTTGGTTTGGTCAATTACTGATATTGCTTTTATGATGACTTAGATTGGTGCGTTTCCGCATTTTTATCACATTGATGAAAATCCATGTCAAACCCATGTATGCGCCAAATTGGTTTGTGATGATTATTCCGTTCAATTACGCTGTTAATTTGCTGGATTATGACCTCTAAACGTCTGTTTCTAGATGAATCGGATTAACAGTGCTGTGAATTTGGGTCATCAGCTTCCGTTCAGAATGTTGTGCTTCTTACCTCTCTTTTTTTTCCCCTATTTTCCAGCGAAGATACACGTATATTTATGGTTTTTGTAATTGGTATCACATTATTTATTTATTTTCAGTTTAAGTCGATTGTTTTGCTTTTCATATTTTGCTTTGGAAAATGCTTTATACTAATTTTCAAAAAGTGAAATGCATAAATGCTATTATGATAAGGATTTTATTCACAAACCATAACTTCGTGTAGAGTCATTCATGGAACATAATCGATCTGGTAGACACAAGTAGCAACTAAGAAAATATCTGGGAAATATCAGAAATAACGATACGATGAATTAGGTCTCAAGCTTTCTTTTTCTCTTGATGTTTATAAAGTTCTATTGTTATCCATTTTAGTAGAAGACAATGATTGACCTGTATAACAAAATATAATCAGTTTTGAGCAAATAATGTATAAAGCATATGCTATAGATAGGTAGAATCTCATCTTTGACTGAATAAGTTTTAGATGTATGAACAATGGCATAGTATTTCAAATCCCATCTTTGCTTGGGCTTGAGTTTTAAAGTGCAATTCTTCTCTTTGATTGGAGGTATTTGCTAGATAATTCAATCTAATTTTAGTTTCTAGAATGTCATTTATTTTAGTCCAGAATGAAGAATTGATGATAATTTTATTTGGCCTTTCTTTACTAGGTTTAATTTCTTCTACAATTACTGGTTATTACAAGTCATATTCTTGAAAATTAAATTCACCTAATCAGTTAATCATCCTTTTGTTTTAACATTCAACTCTGCATTTTCAAGACATGGGAATTGTTGGTGGTGAAGCTTTTTGATATCCTGTCTCAAATTTCAATTTATTCATGCATTTGTTTCATTTCGAAAGACAGCTTACTATGATTCTTTATCAGGCAAGGAATATCTGCAGTGACTTTGACAACAAGGTGAAGCCTCACAATACAAATAACAAAATATAGCTTGCAGTGCCTTCTGATGAAGTTTGCCCTGTAGCATTGTTTCTTGATCGTCTTTTGGTTTATTCATATTCTTGTAAAGATTGTATATAAAGAAAGACACACACATATGATTTCGATGATTAAGAATGAAATATTTTGGAGTACAATCAAACTTGAAGTAATGGGTCGATTTATGCTTTAAAATTTGGTTCGTAAACATGTTTAGAACTTATCAAGCCATATTTTGAGGCAACTTTGAGTTTATTAAAACCCAACATTTCAAGGTAATATTCATTACCATTTTCTTTCGGGCACGTTTCATTTGAGTTACAGATGGGGAGTAGCTGTCTTCCATCCCATGAATAGCACCCTCCCCACTGCAAGGTTCAAACTTGTGATCTCATTTTGAAA